TGTGGATCCGAAAACCCACAACCAAGATTTTGTTATTATTAAAGGGGAATTAAGGTCTAGATCTTCGTATGAATCTTAAATAAGTAAGGACTGAGAATAACGAAACGGATTTGTATTAATATGATCAAAGAACCACGATTAATACAACGGATCTAAAAGGATGAACAAATAAGAACAACCGAGTGCAGCTCGAAGGATTTAGCTCTAGGTGAGTTTACGTATTGAATATTGATTGGATTGGACTTGGCTTCGGAGAAGCCCTAACTTTTGTGTATATAGGCGGTCAGTCGGGTTCAACCACTCCTATATTCGCGCAGCATATTCTCCTCACGACCTCGGATCTTCAGTACGAGCTCCGAGATCCCCGGCTTGACCGATTCTGCTTGCTATCCTCGAGCTCCTCTGTCGTTCAGCTTGCGTCTATATTTTGTTAACTATTTTATTGAGCCCAATCACTTAGCGCGTCGATTGGACCCTTTGTCTGTACTTTTTGGGCCTTTACTGTAATGGGCTAAGCATAAATCCGTCCTTACACTAGATTTACTCCACCTGTATCTGCAGGCTGAGTGTTTCCTTCTAGCTGGTTCGCTTGGGCTAATCCACCGGATCTAACTTGATAGGCCTGATTCATTACAAATGGGTTTCCCTTGGGCCGTATTTTACGGTGCAAAATACAACACCAACGTCTACCTATAGGCTATATCTCTAAAGTGTACCAAATTTATTTAGCAAACAAAAAAAGTGTACCAAATTTAAAGATACGATCCTTCCCTAAATCTTAATTTTTCAATTTCGAATATATGTATTACGTTGTTTTTTTCTTGCGCAATCTTTTTCTCATGATGTTGAGTTTCAGTCTTATACTTTCATCTCTTTTCACCGGAAATGTTAGAATATGTCGCAAGTGTTCTTTTTAAGGTCAGCATAACGAAAGCCACTCCCTAATTTTTTGTGTGTGTTTTTATCATTTTTTTTTCACGACTGAATTTTGTGGTCTGTTTTACTGACTAAGTAAAACATTTGAATTAACTCGATTGATGATTTTCTGTCTTATCCTAGATAGCAAGTTTGTGTCTAGTTGTTGAAATCACTAAACAATTTTTTCCTAAAAAATGCCTATACTTCTAAATTCAATAGCGTTTGTATCATCCAAAAATTATCATCAAATTAATAATTGAGAGTAATGTTGCGCAAATTATAAATGGCCCTAACTAGTGTATGTAAAATTGTGGAATTGTAAGGAATATAGAGGAATATTGTGTTTATGTTACCATTTACCTTTGAAGAAATATGGAATTATAATAAAAATTTTGAACAATTCACTAAATGACATAACATGCAGAATTTTCTTTTAAGACAATAAACATTATAATACTAATATAAATTTACCCAATGTTATTTTTATTTTGACAAAAAAACACTTTTTGTTTTTATATCAATTATATGATGCATATGTAATTACGAATGTATTACAATAAATCAAATTATATTGAATGGATTATTCAATATTTTATGATAAATTTCCTTTGTTCTTGTTTTATAACAGCGCT